GGGGCTGGAATGTTGGGAGAAAAAAAAGCACTTTTCTCTTCTTATTGTGTACCTTCTAAAGAACAACTCACTCAATTGTTAAGCTCTGCCTCTGAAGCAATGAAAAAGAGTCAGGGTGCAGTGCATGCGGGAGGCTGTGGGCTGCTGATTTTCAGCTCTCCGCACCACTGGCTCACAATGGCTTGCAGAATTGCTGGAGCGGCATGCTCAGCTGCTGGCAGCTGGGTGCTTCCTCACAACACCATGTTCTGGTAGCCCTCCTGGTAGCCCTCCTGTTTTACCATAGAAAATGTCCTTTCCGTCTGCATCAGGAAGTGGCCAGTCTTCTACCAGGAGCCTTGTTAAAGCTGCTCAGGAAATGAAGATGTCAAACCTGGAAAGCATGGAGTTGGCAGATAGGCAGAACCTCCCTATCTTCAAAATGAATTAGATAAAATGAAATAGTATTCTTACAAGTGTTTGTCAATAAGCTGCTGAAAATCACTCAGTCAAAAACGCTGTTGTCTCTGATGTTTGAATCTGAAACGACTCTTGCCTTTTTTTCTGCCTTGTTTGTTAAATAATGCTGGTACTTCTGTCTCCCACAGATTATAATTCACTTCGTCCTTTAGAAGCATATCCATTTTCAGCTCAGTAACTTTTTTTCAGAACTGTACATTCATGCCAGTAATCAAATCAGTCTGTTTCTTGCTTTTCATTTGCAAGTCAGTAATATTGTTACTTGGCTTGCTGTTCGTCATCTTTTTATGCATTCTGTTACTTCTTTTCACTTGTTCTTTGGGCTGTTGGGAACAAAAGTAAGCAACAAACAAACAACCCTTCAGTCAGTTTTTTTTTCTTAGGTTTTTAATAAAATAGTATTAAAAAGTAACATTTATTTTTTATCTTTCTCACTAAAGTATCCTAATTGTAGATGATAATAGATGAGAGACACAATACCAGTACTTGAAATTCAGAAGATGTTGCATGGTTGTTCTGCTTTTTCTTTCTTTTGATTGAGGGGCAGACTGTAGGTATGACTTCAAACAGCCAATACATGCTGTGCTTCAAAACTGAAGCATCTTAAACAAACACGTTTGTTTTAATTGTACCCTACTAAGGGCTTCATATTAAAGATTCTTGAACACTAATCTCGCATCGTTCCTACTCATTATTTTTTGTCAAGGGTGATATTTTGGAAGATTTTTTTTTCTTTTAGTGTTGACAGTGTGCTGTAGCTCCACCTCTGAAGAGTTACAGAATCATGGAATGGTTCAGATAAGCCGGAACCTTAAAGATCACCTAGTTCCAGCCTCCCTGCCAATTACTGATCAGTTTTGTTGTGAGGACAGCTTACATGTATGAAGTTCTGGTTGTTCAAACTGTGTGCAGTTGTCAGCCTCCTCTCAGGTCTTTCTGAAAGTTCAGTGTGAGTTTTCATCTGGACTTGCCATGTGCCCTCAATAGGAATGTAGTCCTGCAAAGTTTCCCTTGGAGTCCAAGATCAGATCATGAACCGTAGCTTGCTTGGTTTTGAATCAACTTCCAGAGTACAGGGCTGTGATGTTAACAAAACAAAGCTTGCAGTGGGAGAAATTTGTTAAGATGGTGTTGCTCTGGATACAGTTTCTACTATTGAAAACTGCTTTACAGGCTACAGCAGAGAAACTTAAGATTAAAAGAAATACAACTGCAAGTGCCTTGAAGAATATTGGGTGCTCAGTCTGCAGCTCTGAAGGCTGATTCAGACTGCATTTGCTTGCAGTTTTACCTGAAGATTGCTCTAATGAGTTTAAATAGAAATCCATAGAGAAACTTTAACTGCTATCAGGAGGGGGGGAGACTGCATCTTATTTCTGATTCTATGCATATAATTGTTTTGGTGGTGTTGACCAAATATTTCCATGGCAGAGTGTATATTGTCCTCAGTTAGGACTCATACGTAGCTTTTGGTGATGTTTCAGTACAAATCTGACACTAATTAGTCTCATGCTAATGTCAGAAGAATCAGGACTACTTGGGGCCTGAAATGCCTCTCCAGTCTGAGGCAGCTGGGCTTGTTCAGTCTGGAGAGGGGAAGGCTCTGGGGAGACCTTATTGCAGCCTTTCAGGACCTAAATTAAAAAAGGGCCTACGGGAAAGCTGGGCTGGGACATTTGCAAGGTCATGTGGGAATGGGACAAGAGGTAATGGTTTTAAAACTAAAAGAGGGCAGATTGGGATTAGATATAGGAAAGGAATTCTTGGCTGTTAGGGTGGCACAGGCAGCGTGGAGAAACTGTGGATGTCCTATCCCTGGAGGCTTTCAAGGCCAGGTGGGATGGGGCCCTGGGCAGGCTGATCCACTGGCTGGCAATGCTGCCCATGGCAAGGGCGTGGAACTGGATGGCCTTTAAGTTTCCTTCCAAGTCAAACCATTCCATGATGGTGACTGTACATGCGTTCCCCTCATCTTAGTGAAGATGCACTGAGGAAGGCTGCGTCTGGGTTAGCACCTGAATAATGCTCTGTTTATTTTTTTTTTTTAAGTCATTCATGTTGTCTTATGGCAGAAGGGCCTTCTGTCTTGTCGGTGTTGGCTCATTCCTTCCACTGAGAGGGGAGCAACAAGGATAGCACAGGATATGGATCCGACTGCTTGGCTTTTTGTCATAAACTAAGACAGTGTACTGCAAAGTGACCTAGAGCCTGCAGTGCTGTGATTTCAGCAGCTGGATTCACTAGCAAGCCCTCCAGCCATCATTTTGCTGTTTATGTGACCAAGAGAGGGAGTGCAGTGACATATTGTAAAGCAGCAAACATGTGCATCTCTCAGGCAGGAGGCTCTGGGAGCGAGAAGGTGCAATTAAGAGAGACAGCTTTGGTCTTTGTCTGACACTCTGACTAAAGAGCACTCCTTGCTTTATTAGTGCTTGGTGATACCAATGCAAAGCTTGTATATGAAAATAAAAATGTGCATGTTAGATAAGGATGTGCAAAGTCCTCAAAGTCCTTAAAGCTGATGTACTGCAGAAAGAGAGCTGCTCTTCTGTAATCCCAACCCTGATGCAGCACTTCCTTGGTAATTCCCATCACTTTTGTGTCTGTGTTTAAACAGATAAACGAAACACGGAAAGTGATTAAAATATCCCTGCATTACCTTTTCAACAGAACTTAGTTCCTAACTGGTGATTGCTTTTGGCTGTGGGATGAGGAGAAGACATTGTTATTGTGATTGTAGCGCATGTTTGACTGTCTAAGACTGGTATCAAGTATAATAACTTCTCACTGAACTTAAGTCTGTCCTCTAAGACTTGAGGTCACCTTTTTCTTCCATCACTGTGGCTTCCAACTTCTGGATCCTGATGAATCTGTTTGTAATTTTTTTATTTTTTTGTATTATTCTTTTTTTTTGCCGCATTGCCTAGAACTACAAATCTTCTGCATGTCTAGGTGCTTCTTCTCTGAGGTCAAACAGCCTGGTGGATTATGCCTTCTCTTTTTTTTATCTGAACAAATCCCTCACAGATGTGTTAGGAGAATTTCATAAGGAAGGGTTTAATGAACTGTCTGCAGAAAGGCTTCTGTAAAGATGTGTGAAGTTTTATTTGGGTTGACACAAAATGAATTGTATTGCAGTGCATTTTTTCTTTGATCTTCAGACTGAATCTCTACAAAAGGTAATAAAGTAAAAACAAGAATAAAAAAATAGGGCTACTGAAGCAAAGCAGGAATCTTGGATTCCTCGCAGAGCCTGAAGATTGTCCTAATGTCTCTAATAACTCAGAGCAACTTCCCAAGGTGCGTATTTGTGATAGATGAATCAGTGCTGCGTTAAACTTCTGGGTTTAGTGTGAACTGTGGAAAGGTGAAGATACCATTCATAAAAAGAAAAAATAAAGTCCCACATTAAACAAAAAACACAGCTGCAGAGACTTGATGAAAGTTCTCTTAAACCTTACGAAGTACCCATTTCTGTGGCAGAACACTGGGCTGAATTGTAGCAGGGGCTCAAAGTAGCATCTGTCCGTCCGCCCCATCTGCCGTTTCTGCGTGGGTCTGGTGCCCTCTGGTGGGCCGGGCGGCAAGGCAATGTCATAGAACCATAGAATCACCAAGGTCGGAAGAGACCTCCAGGATCATCCAGTCCAATCATCTACCCACCACCAATATTTGACCACTAAACCATGTCTCTCAGTACAACATATGAACGTTTCCTGAACTCGCTTTTTGCCGTTGCTTTTTGCTGTTTTCTTTTTTCCTGATATTCACTTATGCCCTTATGTCTGGGGGGCATGTCAGTGGTGACGTTATAGTAAAATAAGTGCATTGAGGTATTTGTTTTATTCCCATTTATAAGTGCCTATGCTAGAGCCAACTTCTTCAAAGAAAGCAAATCACTGAGATGTTGGCTCACTTTGCTGTTTGGATACTGTGAAAGTGTGGGGTTCACATTATGCATCATTCACAGAAGATAAATATAGAATTTTGGTGACTTAAAATAAAGCCAAGTAGTTACATCTGTGCAATGTGAAGTCCAAAGTATAAATTCAAGGCAAACGTGGACCATCTTTTCATGTACTTGTGACAGATTGACTGGCAATCTTAAGCCATGTTATCTATTTGCTTTCAATTGTATGGATTTTAGCCATTATTTCTGGCTAAAGAAATGAACAAGCCAATCCCAGCTTTCCTTAGTGTTCTGCTGTGTTCATGCCTGCATATGCAGATAGTGGAGGCTGAGGGCATAAAAGGATGAGAATTTGCTGATCATGTTTTCAGTTGGTTAGATCTCTGAATTGGGTGCAGCACCATCCAAATACAGTGGACTGTTCTCACTTCTTAGCAGGTATTAAATCAGACTGTGCTGCGATAACTGATTTTCAACTTACATGAAGAACTAATATATATGAGCTGTTTGAAAATCTGGTTTGTTTGCACTTTTCAATGATAAATACTATTTGCAAGTTTATTTCAAAGGCTAGCTTGTGTTAAAGCTAGTGCATTCAAATAATGTGCAACAATGCTGTCTTTTCTTTAAGGTTTTGACAAAGGGAAGGATGATGCCTCACAAAGCAAAGAGGATACAGCGCATTCTATGTCCAAAAGCAAGGTAAGGAAAGCTGCCTCTGCCTGGCTTAAAAATGTCAGCATGCAAAGGAGTTGAATGCCTGCTTTAACAAATGTATTAGACTTTCATTCAAATTCATAATCGTATTATACTGATGGTAGAACCCTTTTTGTCTCTGAGAAAAAGGTTCACTGAGATGCAGTGAAAAATGAGAACACACCAAATTGGGAGACAGCAATCACCAAAAATACAGCATATTGAGATGGCTGAAGTTTAAAGAGGAAGAAAACTTGAACTGCTTCAGCAATCAAAAAAAGACTGTTGTTGTGTAGTGATCCCATTTTTTCTTCTTTGCAGAGTTTTGTTTTGTTCTAATCAAGTTTATCTATATGAACACTTTGCAATAGCATCAGCATTCAGAATAAAGTGTTCTTTTCTGCTGGTCCTGACGTAGAATGAACCATTTGTGTAAAAAGTCATAGTAATGCAGAGAAAAATCTTCCTTATTTATTTATTCCTTTCTTAAATCCTTTTAAATTTGTGCATAACAGTTAGAGAAGCTTTACATTTTAAGACATCTTATGGGCTGCTCCAATGCTACTTTCTTTAAAAATTGTATTATTGTAACTCTTAGAGTGCCTGGCTTGTCAAAGCACTACATTTTCATCTAGTGGTCTATATATATTTAGAATGTGGAATTCCAGAAAAATATTTTTAATCGAGTGTCTTACAAAACAGATGTCTTTTTCTCATCAAAACTTTAAAGAACAGACAGATGCCATTTTGGAGATGCCATGTGGAGGAGAAAGTTTTGTATGGTTTGGTTGCTGAATTGAGTATCTGTGTTAAATTGGTTTTCTTATGTAAGCAACACCACTGGCTAGATTTCAGATCTTTAAATGATCCCATTACATGGCTGTGTGGGGAGGGCAGCGGCCAGGAGCGCAGTGCTACCGCAAACGGACAGGGTGAGCAGAATGAGGCTGGTAGTGTAGGCCAGGCTCAGCTGACAGCACCAATCTGTGGGGACAAGGTAGATCCAAAGCCAGGCTGGGGGCTGAAATGGGTCGGCTGCTGGGTCTGTTAGCTGCACAACTAGGCACAGCTTAAGCTGGTTTGGGCTGGGACCAGGGGCTGGGAAGCAAGCTCCTGTACGTCCATCTCCTGGGTGAGGTGGGGAAGAGGACTGCCTCTCACTGAGCTCCCACACAGCTCTCCTCTCAACATTCTGATCCAGGCAGCCTCAGCCAGAGGAGAGGGGGAGTGCCCTCCAGGCCTTCATAGAAGTTTTTCTGCAGTTTTTCCTATGTCTGAGTCTTCAAGAGAAAAATCAAACAGGTGCTGAACAAAATCAAGCTGATGTAAAGATTATGGTAACATCCCCTACTTAAATGGTGTGTTCAGAATTGCATTCTGGAAGAGCAGGACTGTGATTGGTACAATTCCATGATGTCACAGCTGAGCAACCCTTGGAGTCACTGTCATCCACCTGATCAGAAGTCACAGAACTGTGTCTGTAGGCTTTAATGTATCCTGATCAAGGAGATCAAGGAAGCATACTTAATCATCTGGCTTATGTCTGGTCAAAGTATTTTTTATTGGTCCAGAAACCTCTAAATCTTTTTCTGTCTTGAAAATAAGTCAGCATTGTCTATTTTAACCCAGATGAATTTCAGACTCTATTAATAATTTATCTTTGACTAACCAATTTGTTTTTTCTCTTCCTTCTATTTTTTTTTTTCTTGGAGGGATTCTTTTTTTTTTCCAGAATCATAATTCTTTTTATGCTTTACTGTTCCTTTTGTGATTTTCTGCTATTCAAGAGGAGACAGATACTCCTACTTCTCTTAATATATGTAGTTCTTTATCTTTATTTTTGCAATGGAGCTTGTTAAGACCAATAGTTCCTTTATACCCCACCAATAAGCTTCAGGCTAGTAGAAGATGCTTACTGGCTGTCCCAGCTATGCAGGTGAAGTAGCACTCTTTGTTTCTAACTAAAGAGGCTTCTTCTTGTAAATTTTGATCCTATCCCCCCACGTGCAAATGAGAAGATCATTAAAAGTATCCCCTTCACTGGTCTGTCCATAATCTGTTGGATAGGCAAATACGGACTTTCACTCAGTGTCATGTTAGTGAACTTTATAACTGAGAAAATGAGTCTTTGTAACCTGGGATATTTACTGGTTTGGGCTTTATATGTGTGGACTTTAGATTGCATTAGCTTTCTGCTAGTGAGCAACTGGAATATTTATGAATGTTTCACTTGCGTTACCCCATTATACCTTGCATAATGACTTCATTAGCTCTTATGTGACAGTGATAAGCATTTTTCCTTTCTCTTGTAATTATGTTTAAAGTACCATCTTTAACTTCTAGACTGGAATTAAATTTCAAGATGCATGCTTATCTTATATTTTCAGTGTTAAGGACATAGCTTTAATATAAAATGAAGAGATAACCTTCCTTCTTGCAAGATGTACATGGAAGTTAAGGAACATTTACTTACTGCTGAAATAATTTTGATTTAAAATTACTTTTTGCCAGTTGTTGCACGTGTGTTTTTGACAATCCAGTTTATATTTCCTTGCACAAAGAAATACAACTATGTAATTTATCTGATATTTTTGTACAGTGGGGTGCCCATACAGTGTTCTCTTGAGTTGGAATAGAAATGGTGTGTGATAACTCAGTGTACTCTTCTTGTGTTACAAAAACAGCTCTGTAACCCAGGGTGAATCTTTGGTGGCTCTAGTTCCCCTACAATTAGTAGGCAATAGATGCCAAGAAGTAAACTTTGAACCTCACAGGAGGTGGGGGGGAGTGATAGAAGTCACGTGGTGCTGAGGCAGCATATTGTCCTGCCTTGAATGAGGACTTGGGTTTTATAAACAAACCTGAGTTGCCTTCTGCCTATTGCCATGGTGAGCTTCTCTGAGATTATTTGCAGAGTAACGAGAGCGTGGCATTAGGGAGGAAGCAGAAGAGCAAGTGCCAGCAGTGGTCAGTAGTACTCTGGTAACTTGCAGAGCATTGAATTCTAGGTTGAAGAGGCTCTGTTTTCCTTCATGGGTCATGGGGTAAGTGCCTCTATAGCAATCTGTTTGGAGGAACTGTGAAGTTAGGAAGACGTTGAGATTCACATGTCAAATACAGGAATGACTCCTGAGTTTAAATAGCAGGATTCTCCTGAAACCTTCTTTCTCTGCCAAAGTAATGCATACCTAGTCAAGACTGTGACATGTGAAGCAACAGGATACATGGCCTAAATATTTACTATATTTACTTCAACTTTTGGAGGAATCTCAGATTTGTTGCCCACAAAAACTTTATGAAGAAAAGACTCTGTGGGTGATGAATGTTACTGTTACAAGCCTTGTTTTACTAATTGGGATAAACAGCAGAAAAAAGGAATGGGGAGTTTGGAAACACAGCTGTACACTTCAAACACTGAAATAGTAATATGGCCTCATATCTATTATCATGTGTTTATTCTATGTTTTGTTAATTTCAGTCTGAATCCAAGCTTTTCAATGGCTCTGAGAAAGACATCTCATTATCTTCAAGCAAACTTACCAAAAAGGAATCTCTCAAGGTGAATTACTGTCTAAAACCTTCTCATGGACTATAAACATGCACAAAGTTTTATCACATTCTTCTGATGAGAAGAGAAATGCTAATCAGTGAGGAGACTTCTGTGGAATATCCATGTTGTGTGAGAATTAATGTTGCTGGTTCTCTTGGGTTTTCAAGCCTTACTGTACTGTTACGAAGTATGGGCTTTCATAATGTAGTCTTTGAGAATAGATAAGATTATAGGATAGCTGAGAAGCTTATAGGATAATTCAACTTTGCAAGGACCTCAGGACATACACGTGTGATGAAAAGACAAAGTGAAATAACAAAGCTATGGTTTGCATGCTTTACCAGTGTTACTCACTGATTTTTTACCTCTCTGTTGTAACAAGACTAAACTTCCTCTGTTAAATGCCATGTCAGGGGAAACAGAACATTATTTGCCTGTAAAAGATAAATATGTATTACGTTGAATTTTTGCTGTGAGGGAAAGTGAGAGATGAATGAAAATTGATCACATAAAGTGCCAATAAAAATCTGAATCTATCCCTAAATTTGCTTTTGTACCATAGGTTTGTAAAGGAAGAGTATTTTTGTTTGTTTCGGTTCATTCCATCCCATCTCACTCCATGATTCTAAGAGGAGTTTCACAGTTCTCAGTATCAAAAACAAATTGTAGAAGAGTATGAAGTTTTTATGTTGGTAGCAGCTTTTGAAACAGTATGGAATGGTTGTTTAGACTTTGGGTTCAAATACTGTTTTAAAACTGCTTATCTCCATCTTTCTTGCAAATTCAATTTAGCAGTTTTTACCTCAGTTTGTACTAGTAGGTGGCTTTTTGTGCTGTGATTGCTTGCTTTTGCCTGTGGCATTATAAATATTTTTTATTATTATTTACAGGTTCAAAAGAAAAATTACAGAGAAGAAAAGAAGAGAGCTACAAAAGAATTGCTCAGCACAATCACAGACCCATCAGTTATTGTTATGGCTGACTGGCTGAAGGTCAGAATCTAAATGTGAAATCTAAGTTGAAGATACAGCAGCTGCCCACTGATTTTTGACCAGAATAGAAAAGGCTCAGCAACTGAAGTTGCTGTTAATGTTTTTCTACAAACAGCAGATACTAATTGTGACTTTGTGCTCGCTTCCTAGGGGAATAATGGAGTAACCTTGCTCCCACTTACTGCACTCACCATAGTCACGTGTGTCTTGTATGTGCAGCTTGTTAGCTTCACATGAGCTGGCTTTATTATTCCGATCTTGTCCTTTTTATTTTGCACTTTGAATTGAAGCTCTGTTACGTTTGTTACTAACTGTGAAAGTAGTTTGGTCATATTAGGTATATATTTATTTGTGTTTCTTTCTGGCAATTTTCCTTTCCTCTCCTAAGGACTAACAGTCCACTAATACTTGTAGGGAAAGTAAGAAATGAATTTAGTAAAGATGGCAGTCAGCGTCATAATGCCTTGAACGTGTAACATACTACGTGGAAATCCTGCTTTCATATTTAGCTCCAAACAATAGCTTATCTAGGAGAAGTTTCTCAGTGTTTTGCAAAATCAATGTAAACAGGTTGAAACGTTGCTTACAAGTTGTTTTGGCATTTAGTCCTACGGACAAAAGAACCTAAATCCAGAGTTGATTAAATGACGCAAGTAGTTTAATCAGATGTGCAGAATCCAGGGACGTGAAGGGGTCTTATACAGCACATGTGGGTTGAAATTGACAGCTCCTTGTGAGAGGTTTTATCTTAGAAATTTAGATCTAATTTAAATAATTTATTTTGTGAATATATCCTATTTTTCTTATCAGATGTCTGTCCTGTTTTCAGAAGAACTGTGTTTCCAAAGATTATCCTCCCTACATACTAGAGATAACATGTGTTTCAAATAAAACAACTCATGAAGTCAGTTTCAGATGACTATCCACATTTCACAGATCTTGATGTGTGTATATTCTTCTGTAAAATAAGTACTTGTCAAGACAGAGTAAAAGGATGAACACTTAAATTATGCCTTTTTACTATATTTGATAAACATGGATGAACTTGAATAGACTTTTTGTTTTATTGGAACAAAAAAAAAAAAACACTAATAAACATTTCTAATTTTGATTTCTGTTTTGTTGAAGGAGATGGTTTTTGTACTGAGTTCACTGGAATGTAACTGTAACTGTTTGTCTTCTAGATTCGGGGTACCTTGAAAAGCTGGACCAAACTGTGGTGTGTACTGAAACCAGGAGTGTTGCTTGTTTACAAAACACCCAAGAATGGCCAGTGGGTGGGAACAGTGCTCCTGAATGCTTGTGAACTCATTGAGAGACCTTCTAAAAAAGATGGCTTTTGTTTCAAACTTTTTCACCCTTTGGAGCAGTCCATATGGGCCATAAAGGTTAGTGGTAGCACGTGTGGTTCTTAAAGATGACCAGTGTTAGCCAACTATGAGTTAAGACAGCTGTAACAGAAAGTTAAACAGTCTGTTATAACTTTCAATGATTTGTTTATTCTGAATGTAAAATTTGAGCACGTAGTTTTCTTCGCTGCAAAAAAATATTTGCTTTTTTTCTGCTGTATATACTAAAATAACTTACAATGTGCAGAAGTGTGCCACAAAGAGGATAATGCCATCATGGTAGTTATGTAAGTGGAAGGAATGAGTATATAATGTTGTATTCTACATCAGTCTAATCTAGGAAATTAAGGAGGAAATTGATTGAAAAAGATGAAAGTATTCAGATGCATTATGAAAATTTCTTGGCTTCCAGCTCTATATTCATGTAATGTCAGCCTGGTTCAATTTGCTTGTGATATTAGAAATTCAACTAGCTTCCTTATACAATAATAGCATGTATTGCTAATTGTACTCTTTGGATTTGGCTGAAATTTTACAAAGATAAATGTTTCTCTTCAGTTCTGATGACTACTTGCTTTGTCAAATGCGGCACAATATTGTTGGTGTTAATAATCATGGTGTGTTCTGCAGAGCAAAGGCTTATTTCAGACTTTTGTAATTTTTGTTTTAATGTTCACTATTGCTCATTGTTTACTAAATTAACTGCTGTAGTCCTTGTTCTGTGTTTACACATGGAGAGCAGGCGTGGAAGCACAGCACAAGTGATCATGTTTACCTCCTGAATTACTTTAGATGAAATTGTGATAGTGTCAGAATCCTTGTCATTAATTAATTGTGTTCTCTGCAACATCTCAATACAAGTACTAATTGTGAGATTGTATTGTATGAGACGTTAATATCACTGTGGTGCTGTCACATCTGGAGAATATGCTGCAATGTTTTTTGTTTCTTCCTTATCTCAGAGTGGGAAGTAAGTCAGCTAGTATGATCCTTGATATTTGTGCTGATCTTGCTGAAGAACTTCATTATCGGTATTATCTGAATCTACCAAACTTAGATCAAATCATTTGTCGTGCCTTTTGAATGATTTTATTTCAGTATTGATATTTATTTCAGTATTAGGAGGACTTTTCCCTAATTAATTGTGATCTCCCATTAGCAGAACACAAACATCATGTTCTTTTTCAGAAACAACAGAGTTGGGTGTTAATGTGATTGAATTACGAACTTGTATGTGTACATTGCAAAGTGGTGGCCTGTCTGCAGAAGATCACAAATCAATCTTATATTTCCTTATTGTTTGGCAATGAGAAATGGATTTGTTTGTTTTTTTAACTAGATATTTAGAATTTAGAGGACATGCCCCTCCAGATTTTTACTTTTTTAAGGTAGGTCATATTTTGAACCTGAACAAGTTGATATTGTCCATTTTAAATGTGCTGAGAGCTGGAGTGGCGTTTGTTCATTTTGGTATGGCTATTTGCAATTAAAATTACTGGACTTAATTAGATGAGAGGCCTTGAAGTTTGAAACTGTTTTCTGCCTTGTGTTCCTAGTCAATTATAACTTTCTAGTAATAAATTTATTACTGCAAGGTAAATTTTCATGAACATAAATGGCAATTGACTGAATTGCAGGGTAGATAATTCAGAACAAGGTTGAAGTCTAAGACAAAATGAGTTGTGTTTGCCATCAGTGTAGGAAGATGACATTGCAAGAAATACTTACACAGAGATAAGTACTGCAGGACATTTTCTTGCTTAAGCACACCTTCTGTAGTGTGTCCTTCTGGCAGCTTGTAAATTCTTATCGACAGTAGTTTGCAGTCAGTCACTTACTGTGCTTCCTTAGGCCTATTGTTGTGGTCTGTGATGTTCCTTCTGCACTTTAAGGTACTTGATGCACTGAACCTTCTTCTTTCTTCCTCAGGTGCCCAATCCTAATGCCATCTCAGTTTTTTAAAATGTTAACTGGAGAAGTTAGCACAAATGACTTCTCATGAACAGATTTAGATTTTAGTGTGACTGCCTGATTTTGTTGTTTTCTATGAATATTTGTGGCACTTGAGTTTAGTTGGCATGAATATTCTGTTGAAAGTAAACTTCAAAGTTTTTTAATCTAGTGGAATTTTTAATTTGCCCATTACCTCATGTTCCAGTAGTTGTGCAATCAGTTTAAATGCAGTAATCTAACAAGTGGAAACTAACTAACATCTGTTTTGGACACTCATACTCTGAAAATTGATTTTGAAGTCACAATGGCTGATAACAATGAAAACGTCAAGTGCTTTTGAAACAATAGCCAATTAAAAATCCACATGCAAATATTTCAAAATAAATCAACCTACTTAAATGTTCAATCAAATGATTAACTCTGTGTTAGTCAGTACATTGTGCAGCTGCCCATGGGAGTATAGCTTTCTCATACATACTAAAATGCAAACCATCATTTCTTTATTACATCTGGTACAAAGTGATGCATCCTGTATGCCCACAGCATAACCTTAAAGCTCTCAAGGGAGGAGTGCTGCCCTTTGTATCCTGTAATCTGGCAATTTTGAGGACTTGGGATAGTGGAGGCACTTGGCTCGGTACACATGTGCCCATGGAGCCACAGCACAGTACCATCCCCCTTATGCAGTGCCCAGTGATCTCTCCCAGCCCTTCTCTCCCCAGGGGTGCAGTGAACTCTCCCTTGCATCCCCCAATGTTCCAGACCCTTAGTGACCCACCCTCAAAACCAGGAGTGCTCTGCATAATGTCTCCCACGGGTCTTGTTAGCTCCAATCCTCACGTGTCACCTCACCAAACACCTTGCATAGAAGAACCTCTCCAGTCACTGGAGGAGGCTGTAACATAGAATCTTAATTTTAACACCCAAGTGGCTTCTACTCTGTATGCATTCAGAAGTTTCTGAACATTGTGTACCAGCACCAGCTCATGTGTACGGGTATCTAAGCACCACTAAGACTCCTTGTTACCTGCCTCTCACCCTCAGAAATGTTCTGGCTGTTTCATACGCTTGCTTCTAAAATATCTGCTATTATTTGCTTTTGCTCAAAAATTCTGCTGGCTTTCAAATTCCCTCTTCCAAGCCTTATACTGGTTTTCATTAGGCTTCTATGGGGAAATCAGTCAAGGCCAAACTGTGATTACTCATGAATTAGGCAGGCTTAACCCAGCTTTCAACAAGCTTCAAGTGTGTTTAATACAGCCCTCTTTGCTCATCACTTACTTTAATGTTCCCATGGGTAAATGTTTTTGAAGAGACATTTAAATGATTGCTTAGTATTTTATTCCAAAGCAAAGCTTTGGATTTGCTTTAAATTCCAAATGTGAAAAAAAACTTCATAATGAAAGTTAAACTTTGGCATTTAATGTCCTGTATGTTTCTTTTGGTTGAACTCAATTCTTGGTGTCCTGCTGATTCTCTTTGTAGAAGGACTTAAGCATCTGAATGTCTTTTATGGACTTAGCTATCATCCTTATCATTTTAATTTTTTTTTTTAAGCACCAAGTCTACAGGTAGGCATCTAAATACAGTTAGACACAAAATTTTTTAAGGGGATTGACTGACTGTTGGGTGATAGAGAGGTTGAAGGGAGGAGGTGGGAGACAGGAAGAGTGGGTTCCTATTGCAAGACGTAGTGTTCAAGTGGGAACAGTTAGCTCAATTTTGTGTAGATATTGATCGACTCATGTCTTCTGAAGACAGCAGATGCCATGCAGTTCTGGAGTGTAGGATGCAGTTGAGATAACGAACATGTTCTTGCGTAAAAGAGGCATAAAGTGGATCACTGAAGAGAGCCTCCTGCTCTCTCCAGTGGTTTAGCTTGCTCTTCTGTCTTTTGAGGATTTCTGAACCATAGCTGCTTCTTAGGAATTGAGAGGAATCTACTCACATCAAGAGAGGATGAGGACCAGAGGGGAAGGGTTAGTTGTTTACAGATGTGGAGTCTTCTGATAGACAGCTTTTGTTGTAAATCAACCCTCTTAAAATACCCCTTCCCCCCCAATATTTTTTGTTTCATACTTACCTGTTTATCTGAAACGCAGAGTTGAAGAGAAATAACTCATCTCTTCTGATCTCTCTATGCCCATCTGCAGGCCCTTAAAAAGTGAGGGTGACTCCCCTTGTAGCATTCATTTTGATGCTTTTGTCTTTTTGCTTTAAGTGGCATCAGCAGAGCATTTCTAAGCTACTACACCAAGTCTGATTTACCAAAAGCAAACAAACAAACAAAAATCCCTCAAACGAAGACAAAATAAAAGCACCAAAAATTATTTGAATCCCAAAGACTGTTCTCTTTAAAAGAAAGAGGGTTGAATTGGGAGCTATACTTAAAATGATGACTTTGAAGAAGAAATCCAGTAAAAGAGGGCTGTCCATCTTTCCATTCATATCTTCATTAGATGTTGCTGAGTGACAGTAAATAGCCAGCAGTGTGTCTGCTTGTTACGTGAATGGTAAACTCTAAAACGGAATTAAAATATATGATGCTTCTTTTGTGTATTTCAAGGGTCCAAAAGGTGAAGCAGTTGGTTCTATAACTCAGCCACTACCCAGCAGTTACCTGATCATCCGAGCCGCTTCAGAATCAGATGGTAAATAGGCACTTCAGTATTTTTTCACCAAGACAGCAATCAGTCGTTAGAAAGACATTGCTTAAGTTGTCTTACTGACTATTACAGCCCTGTGATTGCAGTTCATGCTTGTAAAGGCTCTTCCTTAACTTGGTACATTGTTGTGTTGGAACTAGCAATTTTTCATGTCTATTCAAGGAGAATATTGAATTGAAGAAATTGTCATTGAGCTCCTTACAACTAGTTCCTTTCTTAAATGCTACTGTAGACTCTTTCTAATGAAAGTGTTTGTGTATTATAAAATTCAGCAGTTTTACAGAGCTCTTGTAGTAGAAATTCCTTCAAAATACACGTTTTTAATGCTATCACTTAGAGGAGATAGGGATTAATATTGATGCAACCATCTTGGAAGGTTAGAAAACAAAAACAAAATTTAAGACTGCTGTTTAGACTTCTTAGTAGCTGCTTTCCTTCTACAGATTAATTAAACATACCCTTGAAGTCCTTAAAGTTAAGACTCTTATTTTCCTTCAGATAATGATACAGTTACTTTTAAATACAGTGTATAGAAGAGAAATAAAAGTCACATTTTTGTATTGTTTAATCACCCTTAGATGTAAATTTGTACTATCTTCATTGGTTTATTTTAAGTGCTTTTTTTTTATTGCTTATGAAAAACTATTAGATTTGAAAATGAATTAAATACAGGAAAATAAATAAGTGAGGAGTGAAAAGAGCACATAATTTTAGAAAATCTGTATTGGAATGTCCAATATTGAATTGACTTTTATATTGTAATTTCCATATTGTATAACATGAACAAATTCTGCCAAGTGATGCAATTACATAGTCTTCAAAAGTGGAATATGTCTGCAAGCACCTTTAGAGGAGTTCAGTAAGTAGAGCCTTGATGGAGCCATTAAGGAAGAAATGCTAGAATGTGCTCTAAATGAATCATTCACCTTGGTCCCCTACCCAACAGCATCTCTAATATTAAATTTGTCTTCAGGCAGGTGTTGGATGGATGCTTTGGAGCTGGCTTTGAAATGTTCAAGTCTACTTAAACGTACAATGATTAGAGAGGGTAAAGAACATGACTTGAATTCTTCAAGTGACAGTGCTCATGTCTCTCTCTATGGCCTGCTTCGTGCTAACAACTTAAATAGTGGAGACAACTTACCGTGAGTAAATTAATTACTAAACCTGATTGCTTTTCTGGCAGAACCATATAGTAATAACTTCTCCAAAGTTATTGGAGTTCTTTGAAGAGAGGATCTCTCTTTGCAGTTCTACTCGCTTCCAGATTCTCTCTATAAGACTTAATTGCACTGTGTTTTTATACATGGATAAAATGAAAAACATGTATACTTTATTTTTTGAGCAAAGAAGATACAGAGGGCAGCTCGGCCCAAGGAACTCAAAGCTGAGTATTACACCAGTAAGTTAAAGCACTCAGTTAAACTGTTACAGTTTAATTTTTTTTTTTTTTTGTATTGTGAAGTTGGTCTCTCTTGTTTGTTTCACCTGAAAAAAGTTTAGTTCATGTTATGAAAGTAGGCAGGTGTGAATATAAGTTGCTTTTCTTTGGTCAAAGTATAAATAACACCAAAACTATTTAAATGGTTGTCATTTGCCTCAGGTTTGAATCATCAAGTTAATCAGTAATGCTTCCATCAGCCTATGAAATTAAATAGTACAAAAATTGAAATCACCTGTGTCAAGTATTAGAGGGCCCTTGAGCCATTTCAGTAAATGCTCTCATCCAAATTTTTGTGAGCATGGTCTTTCCTGAAAATATATCATTAAACAAGCATGGTGAATGTCTAGTATTAAATGTGGAGATTGGTGGCCCTGCATGTGGCAGGGGGGTTGGAGCTTCATGATCCTTGAGGTCCCTTCCAACCCTGGCCATTCTGTGATTCTGTGAATGAATGTGCTTTCCAACACTTCCAGTTATGGCATCAGAGTGCATTAGAAAGATATAAGAGATTTAGTCATTTGTTTGAAATAATTTGGTCTGAAGCTTGGGCTTTGCACCGTTTTTCTCTCTTATCTTCCACCAGTTGAGTATACTGATAGACTGACATACATGTCTTTGAATAATCCTTCACACATATGAATACAGCTGCCCACATCTGTTCTGGGTGGGTGGCGCTTTTATACCGCTGTAGTGGAGATAAAAGTACAGGCCTGTGCAGGAAGAAATGCTTTTCTTGCTGACTTTAGATAGCCTGAAACACTGAGAAAAAGCAGACTATTGCCTTATTGCCTCCAGTCCAAATTCAGGGCACTATCCTGATGACCAGCCAATATTTTGTCCAGGTACAGTTTTGCTCCTTCCACAATCCTAAGGAAACAGTGAAACTGCAGTGTACAGTTCAACTGGAGATCTGTAGTCATAATTTAATATCATCACCTGACCGAGATTACAGTCACAGCAATTAGCTACAATCGTTAAGTCTAATTAAGAGTAATAGTTTAATTAAGTAGATCTTTGGATGTGGTGTATTGTAAGAGTATTCAGTGTGTTTATCTAAACTATAGACATAGTTTTAAAGGGGTTGGCAGGAGAGGGAGAAAACATGAAAGCAATTTTAACTCCAGCTGAGAGCTAGCTTTTTACATTTCTCAGTGATGTTGCAGCAGAGGATGCCTTGGTCCTTCTGGGAATGTGTACAGCTGTGTAACCTTGAGAAGGAAGCATGCTGGGGAGTTAATAAGGAGTTTAAAATCAGTATTTATTTACACTGCCTTAATGTGGGAAAGGAAATAGTGTTCTATACCTACAAATTACTGCTTTGTGTGAAGTATCACTTCAGTTATGGAATTCACTTTATCGTTCTTCATCCGCTATATGTAGTCTCTTCCTCACCTCACTGGCCATAGCCAGAGAATATAAAAAACATAAATGCAAAGTAAATTTGGTGCATTTTACAGTTCAGTGACAACACCGCATCCTGTATATTTCCACTGAAGCCAGTTCAACTTTGCTGCTAGACTGGGGTTCATACTGGCACCTAATTCAAAGGATTATTGTGGGATTTTGGTTTGGAAACATGAAATCGTGGGGTGAAGCTGAAGATTCATTTAGCTTTTATCTTTTGTAGATTAAATGACAGTGAAATCGAAAGGCATCACTTTAAAGACCAAGATATGTACTCTGATAAATCTGATAAGGAAAATGATCATGAACATGATGAGTCTGATAATGATGGATTGGGGAAAAGTGAAGAAAGTGATAGTGACACATCAGAGCGACAAGATGACTCTTATGTTGATCCAGAGCCAATTGATATCAAAGAAACAACTTACTTAGAACAAAGTCATGAAGAACTTGGAGAGGTAAAAGTACTTTTCATGTAGTAGGCAGGTCACTTTGCTGCATGTAAAGCTGATATTTTAGAGGATGTGCTACATTTGACAGCTGCTTTACAGGATTGACTTTCATGTGGTCAGTAATCCTGAGGAAAAAAAAATTGTATCCATCCGTGTTCTGCTCTGCTACACTTCTGTGCTTCTGAGAGATTCGTTTATTTAAAAAGAATGACCTCTTTGTTAAAGATTATTTGGCGTATTTCTCAGAGAGAAGGTGCTTACTTTAGAAGGACCACCTGCAGCAGAAGTTGGCCATGTCTGCCTTTCTTCTCGTTACTAACTCTGTTTTTTTTATTAAATTGTTTTGGTCTTTTTCTTTAAGTAAAAATTTTCAAGTTGATTTTTATACAAACTGACACCTATTTTTCTACTGCAAGAGAGAAGTTAAGTAGTGCTGGGCTTTGCAGAATTCTGTGAAAGACTTGCTATGTTTTCAGTGTTCAGCTTGCATTCTATTATGATGCCCAGAGTTACTGCTCTGTTTCTGTGGGTTTTCTTTCACCCCTACACAGCCAAATGTGAGAGGAATATGTATGTATTACTTGCTATAATAATACCAAAAATCTTTTTAATGGAAATGGAGAGAAATAGAATAGTTGTGACTCTCCTCTTTTTCTCAAGTGCTAAGTGTGAGGTTTGTTGTTGTTGTTTGCTCCATTTTTATATACCTACTGGACATAGAAACTTTGTGCTTTGTTGCTTTCCAGGATCAGCTCTAGAATAAACAACGGCTCAAGAAAAGTTGAGGGGTTCAAGTTAGCAACAATGCATTTTAGAATAGTTTTGGGAAGAGGGATGCTTTTCCTATAGACCTTGTTTTTCATTTCAGGAACTGTAAGAAAGAATATCTCCACTTTTCTTTGACCAAAAGGAGCACATTGGGGTTTTTTTCTGTTTTAGGGTTGATAAAAAGAAATGCAGTTTTTAATGCTGAATAGTAAATATGTAATCATATGTATCATATATTAAATGTGTACTGTAAGTGTATTTAGAGAAATTTTCTATCTCTTCCTCGGAGTGTTCCATTTCATGTGTACATTTTATATTGTTATGGCATCGTCAGAATGCATTGAAACAGTTCAACGTCTATGTTCTTTATCCTTTCTGTAAGCAGTTTCTTATTTATCTTAGGCAGGGGAGGCTGCTCAGACAGAAGTAGTGTCTGAAGAAAACAAAAGTTTGATCTGGACACTTCTGAAGCAAGTCCGTCCAGGAATGGACTTATCCAAGGTTGTACTGCCTACGTTTATCTTGGAACCTCGTTCTTTCCTTGACAAGCTCTCTGATTACTACTACCATGCAGACTTCCTATCCGAGTGAGTCAATCCTATCACTGGTTTTCTTTCCCTTTAGCTTCCTTTTAAGCTAAAATAAGAAACCAGTAAGATACTGAAATCTTTGTTGTCTGGTCTGGTTCACTTGAACAGCATCATAGAATACGTAGTCTGAATGTTTGTCTGACAATCTATCAGTTGTCAAATATTCTTGCTTTCTGAAAATTATCAGCCTAAGAGCTCGGCTGGTACGTCTCAATGTCTGTCCCCTCTTAATACTTTAATAGCAATTGTGTTGCAAACATTTCTGTTGTGGATTTTAGGAAATGGTTAAAAGACTTCTCGAGATTTAACAAAATTAGTTTGTTTTTTCCTTTTTCTTCTTTTGGATGCATATTTATAATGGTGGAATAGCAAGAATTAACCTTTTTAAAGAAATTATTAAATACTGTTTTGATTTAGAATTTATTTACCTGCTCAAAGAAAGCTAATGAATTAAAACCTGTACATAGAGATATTATTCAGCTGTGCATGAGTATGCCAATTCTCTGGAGCATTCTCTTTCCTAAATAAAAGGAATTGGAGGGGGGTGTTTAGCAGGATTTAGTGTTTCAAAGTCCAGACTCAATTTTGGAGTAAGCATTTCTGATTTTTATTTTGTTTGATTTCCATGTTCAGAGGATTCTGAAAGCTTAATTTCAGGCTGAAAGTTTTACTACTGAGAATCACAAAACCTCTGTTTAAGTGAGCTTCTAGATAGAAGATGTATAACAGCAATTGGTAGCGTCTCATAATCGAAGCAATGCTGACATTCAGTCTGTGCTTTCTGTTTGTTTCACAGAGCTGCTCTTGAAGAGAATGCTTACAACCGCATGAAAAAAGTAGTAAAGTGGTATTTGTCTGGATTCTACAAAAAGCCAAAGGTGTCCTTTTACTCATTATTTTGTCTTTGTTTTGGAAGTTGTGTCTAGTTTGAGAGCTCAGGAATGTGCTGGAGTTTTTGTTTCATTATATTGTTAGGCATTTTTTTCTGAAGAAGGTGAAGTTTTCATTATTTAGATAAATTTATCATAGATCTTTCTGGTCCCCAGCCATGCTTAAAGCAGATTGTGCACAACTGCTTTTTCCCCTTGAAGTAGAAATGTAATGAAACATTTTTACACAAAGTTGAGCAATATCTTGTTTACTGTTCTTCAGTGATAGCGTTATGTATTTGGAGGAGTAAGATTTCCCCTACTTCATTTAGCGTTAAACTCAGTATTCTTTATAAGCAGCTTGATGGGAAATAGTATTTAAAGATGACACTATTTACTGCTTCTTGAGCCTGATATTCAAATGATGAGATTGAGGCAATGTGCTCTAGCATATGCGTTATGCTTGCTTTTTTTTTTCCTTTCTCTATCTTTCAGCGACTGACTGTTAGAAATATTCTGTGAGTTCTTTACATGCTCTGTATGGTTACTGTCTGTTTTGTTTCTGTTCAGGGACTAAAAAAGCCGTACAATCCTATACTTGGCGAGACTTTCCGCTGCATGTGGATCCATCCGAGGACGAACAGCAAGACTTTTTACATTGCAGAACAGGTAGCTGCCATAAGCAGCATGAATATTTTTAAGAAAAACAAATGTGTTAGGTTTTTTTGTGTGTGCTAGGTAAGCAATATGGCAGCACTAGAAAATGTATTTGTATGTATGTGTAGTATCCTAAAAACTCTCCTCAATATATTCTTAGAAAGACAAAGATGTTTCAGTGTTTTTGTTCCATCTTCCTCCAGTGAAAGTCAGACACTAGTTTTCTCAACTCTAGTAATTCACTGAAAATGCTTGCTTGATCTTTATCTCTGAAGATTAAGGTTGAGTTTGGACAAGGCTGCCAGACATACAGTTTGAATTTTGGGTGGTCCTTTGTCGAGCCAGGGGCTGGACTAGATCTCTGTGGGTTCCTTCTAACATGGGTTATTCTATGATCCTATGATCTCATATATTAATTGTATTCTATTCTGTGTAACATGAATTTTGCATTGTCTTTATTAGATCAAGGTTTATACTGTGTTGCATGTTTTTTCAATAGGTGTCCCATCATCCCCCAATATCTGCCTTCTATGTTAGCAACCGCAAGGACGGTTTTTGCCTTAGTGGTAGCATTCTGGCCAAATCAAAATTCTATGGTAAGTAATGTTTTGGGAGCTAAGAGGGTTGGGGTTTTTTTTTGGCTGTGCTTTTATTGAGGAGTGTAAAATCAGTGCAGGTGTTTTGATGATGAAAAAGGGCTTTTAGAAGAATGGTTGGGTTTGGATCATTGTATTATAATTGCCTGACAAAATTTTTCTTGCTGGTCTTAGCATTTTAATTTCTCTTTTACAGTACACTTTAATTTTTGTTTGGAGATGCTGTGATTATAGTGGCTTCACTAGGCAAGATAGATTTCAATGCCAAATATGATAATTTTAATTCTGTTTCTTGGTTATTAGGAAATGCTGACTGTTGTCTTGCAGGGTGTGAAATGTGCTTCTCTGTGTTTGAATTCCAGGGAATTCATTATCTGCCATACTAGATGGAGAAGGACGGCTGACGTTCCTAAATAGAGGAGAAGATTATGTAATGACTATGCCATATGCTCACTGTAAAGGTAGAGTTCATTATTCTAAATATACTGTTGTTGAATTTAATCTTGTCATCTGCGTAAATTTTTGTGAACACAGGCAACGTTGGTGTTTCTAGGCTCCCATATACTTTACCAAGATAAGAAGTATTATTTAAGTAATCGTCTGGCTTTGGCACAGCAGAAGATTTTTTTTCATCAATATTAAAAGTGTTTAGATAGCTATCTGTCATTACATGACAGTAATTTATTGTTTAAGTTGCTTTCTTTTCTGGAGAGGACTCTGGAGCTTCTCCAGTATTTTCCTATTGGAAATATAATAGTGTAGTCTCTACACCTCATGTAGTTTGGGTGTAAATCATGACTTTTTTTCTTTAGTTTCACTACAGGGAAAATAGTCAGTAGTTCCTTTCTGAAGGGCTGATAGTTGTACAGAATACATTGCAGCATTGCTGGGATTTTTGCCTCCGTATTTTCTGCCAAAATTCTATTTCAGAACTCTTGTAATCAGCAAGCGTAAGACTTTCATACAGATGCATGACAGATGAGTTAGCAGAATTATGTAACTTAACATGAGTTTGGTAGGCTCTTCTTTTTTTTTTTTTGGAGGGGGGTTATTTTTAATATTGTCGGATTTTATGTTACCTTTCATATGACTTTGGTGACAGAAATAATGCTTAACAGTAAGTACCTTAGGTGTATACATACATACAAAACAGACAGGAAGAAGAACTAGAATGACTAGTGATACTGATACAGAGAAAGAAAGATGGAAGAATATGCGGAGAGGGGGGGGAAGAGAGGGGAATGTGCATGCTGGAAAACATATTTCTGCAGGCATCCATTGTGTGTAAAATACACTCAGTGTTTCAAATGCTGGGTTGCAGGGGAAAGACTGTGATTGTGGGAAATATGCTATGAGTTGTCAACCTTTTTGCTTCCAAAAATCTTTGGAGGGGTGATCAGTGATGTCCTGTACTGGCTGTGCGATTTTCTTTACTGCGCCTACTGTATCTGTCTGAGCAAAGTTGTTTTCCTATTGATAGATCATATTTCCTGCTTAAGTAATTCATTTGGATGCTTTTCTTTCTGTTTGGGTTATCTTATTGGGCAGAAACATCACGCTCATGGTTAGGGAAAGTCACCTAAAGAGAAAATAAGCAGAGCTGTTGCTTTCTTTTTGTTCTCTGGCACAGATGTGTTTACCCCAGGAATTGGGACAAAAGAGTTTAGGTTGTTTTTGTCTTGTCCAGTTACAAATTCTCATGTTGGCACTTCCTTCTTGCAGGAATTCTTTATGGCACAATGACCTTAGAGCTTGGGGGAACGGTCAACATCACCTGTGAAAAAACTGGCTACAGTGCAACAATTGAATTCAAACTGAAGGTTAGTAAATGCTATGAGTGGACATGAGAATGAGCATTCTAATATTAAAATGTTTGTATTATCAGATCATACCATAGATACAATCTAGCAACCTGTGGCTAGAGAAAAAAAAAAAAAGGAAAGAAACATAGGACAATATAATTCCTTTTTTATTTTTTCTTCTGGGTCCAAAAGTCTTGACCAAAACTTACAGCTCTGTCTTATCTCTGCTTGTAAGGATGCTTCCATTGCAGTGCTTGCATATTGCCAGTTGTGTGAACCTTACAAACAGCTTAGCTGGAGGGGTGACGGGAGGAAGCAACAGTCTGTCTCATTTCCAGCAGTAGCATCTGTATGTGTCTGAAAGGTGTGCAAGAACAGGGATTAGTGATCTAATCAGCAACTCAAGTATTTTGTATCTTGCTGAGTGTATATATATCCTATGGAGATTTTTCATTCTCTGAAAACTTTTGAGTGTCTTTTTAAACTTCTTGAGATCCCTTGAAGAAGAGCTCAAGCTCAGGTTCCCCTCTTCCATCCTGCATGAAAATTAAGTTGTTCCTGGCACATCAAACAAAGGTAACAGAAGGGTTTTAGCTAACATTCAGATCAGTTTAATGTCCAGCCTTATGAGCAATTATGTGTACTATTTTTTGCAGCTGTCTTTGCTATAGAAACACTCACCAGGTGCAAAGGCTAAGCAAAGGTTTCTCAATTATGTATAAATGGCTGGCTCTTCTGAAAATGTTCCTGCTGTTTTTGAGACAAACTGATTTAAAGCTAAACAGTCACTAGGGAAAAGTGCATGTGGAGAGAAACTGTACTCAACTAAGATTGTAGGGGAAAGTTGAAAGTTAGGAGGCTGTATCAATTGAAGTTTTGCCTCTTCAACGCATGGGATACATGTAGACTATCAAAAGGCTGAAGAAAATTTCTTGCTGTCATTTTTCTTGTTTTCACAGGAGTTAATCTCTATTAACAGAGTCTTTGGCAAAGTGGTGAGATTAGTAATAGCAAATGACAATTTCCTTCTAGATGCCATTCACATGACTTGCATATCACCATGTTTTTACATTTTTTGCCCTTTTCAGATTTCTTTCAATCCTAGTAATTTTGATCAGCAAAGCTTTTGAGAAAATAGAGAGAACAATTTAGTTGTGGTACTATTAGGCAGAAGTTGTAATATTGAAAGCATTCAGGGCTGTTTACATTGGATTTCGTAAATGCATTTTATTTCATAACACTCAACATACATGCAAATATTTTTTGTTATTAAAACAAATATGAAAGCATTTCTTTTTATTTTGCAGCCATTTTTAGGTAACAATGACAGTGTTAATCAAATATCAGGGAAAATTAAGCTTGGCAAAGAAGTTCTGGCTATTTTGGAGGGCCACTGGGTAAGTAGTAAGTATTGAGTAAATTATGAGTTAAAAGAGGGGAAAATAGCATGTAGTTACAAAAAAGGCTCATAAAAAAACAGGAGTTGAGTAAATGCCACTTTCAGTGAAGTGTCCTTTGTAGTTAAACAGTCCTCAAGGGTGACGTTAGAGTCAAGGTACTGTTACTGCTGAGTATGCTTGAGTAGTTCCTGGTGAGAATACTTTGTATACATATTAATACTTGGAGGAATTGTTGTGGCACCAGGATGAAATACTGAAATTTGTTTCAGTTCTGATGACACTGGCACCCTTGTTTGACAGCGATGGTCCCACTCCCTCTCTATTCTGAGTTAGAACCAGTGCAGAATGCAGAAATTGAATTTTGAAATTAGCATATGTAATTATTCTTGTCTGCTAATCTGAAATATTTTTATTTACAAAAATAGTAATTATTCCTTCAGTTTGCATTATTTTTTGTTCTCTGTGTGATTATTACAGTTAGGATCACTAAATTATCTATGTTACAGGACAGTGAAGTTACTATTAGGGACAAGAAGACCGATGTTTCGGAGACGTTCTGGAACCCAACTTCTGATATCAAGCAGCGTAGATTACCTAGATACACTGTGAAGTTTGAAGAGCAAGATGACTTTGAGTCAGAGAAGTAAGTGCTCTTTAGAAGCACAAATAATTATTCTGACAAAATAGAACTCATTATCTTCTTCAAATTATGACATTAGCTGGCCTGTAGCTGATGGCTTTGTTACTTCCTGTGTTTGCTGATATTGACCTGTACAGCAAGAAAGCAGCACTGTTAAATACAGGCTCACTACTTAGAAGCCTTACGACCTCTACTAAGCCTATAATTAGAGAAATGTTTTCAATTACTTTTATAACCAGGTGTTACTCTTGATATTGCTTGTTTGTCAGGCTTTGGCAACAAGTGACTAAAGCAATAAATAATAAAGACCAAACAGAAGCTACTCAAGAGAAATACGTTTTGGAGGAAGCTCAGAGAAAGAGTGCCAAAGAGAGGAAACTGAAGGGTGAAGAGTGGACGTGCAAGCTGTTTGATCAGGATTCAGTCACGGGAGAATGGCACTACAGATACGCTGAGTGAGTGCTGGAATGCTTGTAACAAAACTGCCAGTTGATGCTCGCAAGTGTCTCTGAGCCTCTTGCTGTGCTTTTAAGAGCGAAAGCTGAAAGCATGGAAGCATGAAATTTGCAATGCTACTTGATTACTCCAATTCACGTGTTTTAACCAAAATGTGTAACTTTGTAGCTGAACTGGTTATCCTTTTAGCAGGGACTGTATGTAATTTTGAAAAGGCAGGGATTACTACAGCAGGAAACTATGTTTCAAGCACTTATTTCAATGGACTTGTTCTGTGTTTTGTTTTGTTTTCCTTTTTTTGGAAAATTCACTTTTTTGTGTTTTGTTTTCCTATTTCTGGTTATGTGCCTCCACAGATTGGAAAGCACTGTGTGTATTTTCTGTGTCCGTGAAGTTTTATGATTCAAGTGTGTGCCACGGAAGTGTTACTGTATGTTAGAAAGCAGTCTGTGGGGTCTGTTGTCGTTGGAAGGAATTATTGATTCTTTTTATGAATGTGAGGCCAGCTCACCACGTGGTCTGCATGAAGAGCAGAATATTTTATGCTTACTGTGAAAAATGCATTCAGTGAACTGCAGCATTTGTTAAGGTATCTAAATTAGATACCTGGATTGCAGTTGTGAGAGACCTTTGGGAGAAGAATGCCTTGTTCTTATCCAGTTACCTTAGACAACATTTAACTCAAGCCACGTTATCTAAGATGTGAATGCAGGTCTATGTTCACAGTACCCAAACAGCTGCAAATGTTTTCAAAAAGACACAAGAAGAAATGAAAGAAAACCAGTGCTTAATCTGCACTCATTAAAGCTGTGCATGATAATGATCTTCAAGCAGCTGACTTGAGTTTTTTGTCATGGAAAGCCTGTGCTTCATGGGAATGTCTGTCTTTACCTTTGGCAATTTGTCTTCTCTAATGAGCTGTCTTTTGCTTGTTATTTTTCATTTTATGTCAGTTTGTATTTGGAAAAGCACTCCTAAAAATCTGCACAAGCGAATTGTATGTTGCTCATTACTGCCTCTTGAAACTATTGCAGGTTACCATTAGCCACTTTGGAATGAAAGTAGTTCTGAGGCAACTGGATCTCGTGGCTTTTCAGGCTACACGTGGACATTTGGATCATTTTTTCAGTGTTTGACTTCTACACAGGGAGAAAGATTGTTATTTCGTTACATACGAAATAGTTTCTGAGCAATAAAATATAATCTCTGTGTTATTAATCATTTGTATTCATTTTGTCTAGTACCAGGCCGTGGGACCCTTTGAATGATATGATTCAGTTTGAAAAAGATGGCACAATCCAAACCAAAGTTAGGCATCGGACACCAATGGTATGTTCTAGTTTTGTTAGTAGGTGCAGCAAGCTCCAGGGACTCACGTTTATTGTGTTGTATGTATGAAGGTCCTCAAAGCATGGGGAGGGTTAAAGAATACCATTGGTACCCTGTGAAAATGTAGATTAGCCAGTCCATAGTCTTTCACTTCTGTGATGCATCCTGAGCGGTAGAGATGACTTAATTGACTAAGAATGTGAAGTAATGCCAACTTGAGGTCAGCAATTTAACACAGTCCTCCCTTAATGGAAAGATGCACAAGCCTTGGGTTGCTTTTATGTCAAAAGTCTTGATTTGCAAGTCTGTGAGATATGCTTTTTGCTGTTACTGACAGAATGTGCTGCTTTGCTGCAGTTCTGGTTCTGTGGAAGTAATTTATATGTTTTACAATTGTAGGTTAGTGTTCCGAAAATCAAGCGAAAACCAACCAGCCAGAAAAAAGGGGAGTGTGGTTTCTCATCCCCTGAGCCTGATAATCAGGATTCCTCTGGAAGTGAAGGTAGGAGAAGATATGTTTACATTCAAACATAAGAAATTTACTTAAGCAGAGTTCTTTAGTCACACATACTATTATTATTTCAGAATGTTTTCATTACAAAGACATGTTTTAGATAGCACTTCAATGTGGCGCATGTTCTGGTGTCTCTATTGAGTATGTGGAAACAGATTTTTGTTGTTGAGACTGTCTGCAAAAATTGAACTATACCTGGAGAGTTTTAAGATATTCCTAAATCTCAACTTGCTTTCCTTCTGAGCTACAGTAACTTTGTAATGAAACTTTAGTTTTCAATAGAAACTCACTTAGAAAACTTCCTCCTTGGTTTTGCAAGCTTGTCATTCCTGCTTTGCTCCGTTTTGGATTGAGGACTTCCTTCTGGGAATTACACCCATCTTTTCTATTTTTGTAGCACAACTTACGAAGCATAATACAAGAATAAGGAAAAAAGGGGCAGACCTTGGTGAACTGCAGAGTGCCATTGAATCTATAAAGGAAACACAAGAAGACATTAAGAGGTAGTACTAAATCTAAAATGGTTTAAAATGACAAAGAATACTGATTGCCCAGCTGTTTTGGAGGCTGATCTTTCTCCTTTTAATGCCATGATGTCTTTGAAGAACTGGGAAAATTAGTTTAACTGTCCTTCTTCTACATGTTAATTACTTATCAATAGTACATAATTTTCCTCAAAGTTTGTATCCTGTGGGGAGCCCCAACAAACTGGAATGTCAGATTGTCTGGATGGTGATTTACGAGATATTATTCTGTGCCTTACAGGGACATAATGGCTCTACGAAATCGAGTCACTTCTAATTCCCCACCTGTGGACAACCAGTTTTTGCAGCTGAAGCACTATATCTTCATTTTACTCCTGGTTCTGCTACAGCTTATCATCAATTTCTTGTTCAAATAGGAAGTGTGAACAAGAGCCTTTCTGAACTGGAATGATCAAACTCTTACTGGGGACCATGTTTTAAGTTGGACTTTAAATGATGCAATATTATCTGAAAGAGCCTTGTAGCAACAACTTGCAGAACTTTTTTGCCTCAGAGTCCGTGGTTCAGAATCATCCTCCCATCTACCCAGTTGAAGTAAGACTCGTGTAAGTGCCAGTACACTCTTGCTCCTGGTGTGTGCCTCTGTTTCAGACATACAGCATCAGCCTTGTGTTTTTTATTACGTCACATGCTGTACTGATGAATCTTCACCACAGAATAGATAAAATCAAAATTCAGAGGGCAGGCTCTGTAGGTTGGACCTGATTGCTGTTTTGGTAGTGTAATAAGCAGCAGACTTTGTTACATTTAAACTTACAACTTTTGTAACAAAGTAACTTTTAAAGTAGCGAGGCTTACCAACTTTTTTTTTTTTTTTTTTAATGGCGTTGGGTGTTTGGATGTGAACTTTTATTTGAGGTCAAATGAACACATTCTTATACAAAGGTCATGACTGTTAGGAACTGGCAAGTACAAAGCTGAAGTCTCTGAGAATTCTGCAATTTTATGTCCTTGATTTGTTCTGGAGGTGTGACAGTTTGTGTCCTGAATTACTACAGTGGCTTATAAGCCAATTTTTTTTTTTTTTTTTTTTTTTTTAATATATATAATTTTAAAACTTCAGGTTCTTCACAAAAACATTCCTGTATCTACTGTACAGAGCACGTTTTTAATAGCGCAGCACCTGGGCAGGTACTGTGTTTGTACATTCACACTCATGAACTGCAAATACTGAGGTTTTAGGGTTTGCTTTTTAAGTCTTGATAAATCTGTAAGTCCTGAATTTATATTGGAGTATGGCTGCGTCTCAGTAAGAAGGCAGACTGCCCATGCCAGGACTCTTTCTTACTTCAGAAACAAAATGTGAAGATGAAAAGTTACATTTAGTATATAACATGAGTTGAGCTTTCCAAAGGAGGGACTGTGTGGAACAGGATTTGGCCACTGTCAGCAGGTCATCTGCAAATGAGAATGTGTGTTTACAAGGGAAATGGCTTCAGAAATGGTGGGACAGCTAACAAAACAAATAAGAACAAATGATAGTAAAATGCTGTTTGTTACATTCACGGTGTATATATACTACCTAACTGAATACTCAGTGCACCTGTTCATTATCTGCAGCCATACCAGTTTATATGGACTTTAAATTTCAAATTAAAACCAGAGCTTGTAGCATCTTGTTGGAAGAACAACACGCATGTACAGCACTTACAGCTAAAAAAGTGGTACCAGTGTTTATCTGGTGAATTCCTTCTGGCAGTCAAGCCTTTCCATGTACATGTATCAAGTCAAAAAGTAGCCGTAGTGTTGTAAAGCTACTTTCAGCAACCCAGATAAGAAAGCAGGAAGACGGGAGACACAGAGTATAGCCAAGTTTGTTTTCAGTGGGTCCTCTCAGAAATCAAATGGAAAGTTTGGAGCTGCCATGGCCTTGGGCAGCCTCAGTAACTCTTCAAGTGATCTCACATTCTGTTCTACATCAGCCTTGTCCAGCATTTGGTGAAAATTCTATTTACTTAGTCAAGCTCATTTGTTCCCATGGCTGACATCTCCACAGCACTTCACTTTCTATTTCATTTTACCCCTTCTTTATTTCTTACAGCTTCGTACTAGCATAGCTTGTTCTGGAATCAGAACATTTTGGAATGTGGACTCTATTGTCTGCAACTGATGAGGTGGAATTTGTGAATATAGGAAGTTTCTTACTGTTAAGTTTTGTGTCCCTAAATTAAGTCTCCAACAGAAATTGAAATTGTTTGCCATATATAAAATGACATAAAAAAAGCAGAATACTATAGTATTAATTTAATCTACTCAGCATGGAATTGGGCCATTTGTTACAGTGCTCAAATGTCAAAGCTTCATCTGTCATAACTATCCATTACAGGTTCCTAAGCATGCTCCATGTGTGGGAGTAATATAAAAGGAAATGAGTGAGGTAAAAATAAAATCAGAATTTGAGCAATAACTTTAATCCCCTAAAATAGCTCTGCTAAATTTGGGGTGCTGAAAACTCTTGACTGACAGTTACAAGCTTTTTATCTGCCTTGTAAATGGAAATGTCCTTCTGCTCTTTTATTTTGATTTTAATCCTTCTATTTAAGATCAGTCACTAACACAGACTGGATGTATTTTTACATTCACTGTTCATGGATTTGACCCAGCTAGCTGGCTGGCAGCACAGCGTCGGGCAGCATCAGACTAAACAAATGTTCCATATGTGAAATTGAGCTTCAGCTCAAGGCAAGTCAGAGTTGAATGGAGTGAGACAAAATGCCTATGCTTATGTTCCTTTTCAGTTTATTTTTAGAGGTTACTTCTGTCATAAAGGTGGTTTTAGTCATGGTCCAGGAAAGTAAAGGATATATGATGAAACTTTTAAAAAGTAAAACTGCAGACTTCTGCTTGACAGAACGATTGGATTTCTTAAATTCTAGAAAGTACATCGGAGTCCAGCTGGATGATGTTCCCCTGTGTGAACAGGACGGCATCATTTCCTGCCTGATGCTTGTAGTACTGCTGCCCGTGGGCCTGGTGTGTGAGGGCTTTTCCGTGGCACATCATGATTGTCTGCTTGCCCACAACGTGTGGGTGATCTTGAATATGAAATATCTGATGCTGAGATCTGTGTGAGTTACAGAACGGGCTGTACAGCCTGCAGATAGATGTGTGAGGGCTGTAGCTTCCCAGTTTGTATGATTAAACAGCACTAGTTTGTTTTCACATTTGATTTAAAGATCTCAAGGGGGTGGTTGTTTTTTCTTGTACAGGAAATACCATCAGAAATTGTTGCCACGTGGTTTTGTTGTTTTGTTTTCAAATGCACTCTAAGCCTTTAATTTGCCATTAGGTACAGATTGCCTAGCTAGGTGCCCGTGACCTAGGCTAAAAGAGCAAATATGAGATGTCACAGGGCACCATTTCAGCAGCAGGAGATGT